TAACTTACCCTATCCATCACCCTTCCCCCACCTCATTGAATGTTGGATCTGATTGGTTGATCATGAGGGAGGACACAGTCACCACATACAAGGCACGGGCTAGGCATTGGCGTGGCTTTGGGTGGGCCTGCCCCTGAGGAGCAGAGTTACCCTATCACAACGCCTGGCTGCTCCATGTCATCAGTGTGAGTCCTGGGGGGAATTATAGGCCTCGGGGGCACAGCAGAGGCAGCCTGACACCGTATGGGGCCCCATCAATATGATATACATGAGGTCTGACATTTCTGGCCACGCCCCTAGAGACATCCACCATCCCACCGCAATGTATACTGATAGAACAGACAGACATGTGAGAGTCCTTCCCCAAACCAACCAGCCAATCCCCTTCCGGCTCTGACATACCAGCTCATGAGCATCCAATCCTTTCCAATGGTGGCCCCGCTGGTGGTGAATTCTGATTGGCCGGGTGTCGGCATCTTCCGGAGGAGCTCAGCCTATGGCAGGTTCTCTTTACCTGAGCCGTGCCTCCCGCTAGTGGCGGCCTCTAGTTGCGGTCTCTAGTGCCTCCCTCCAGCGACGGTCTCTAGTGCCTCCCCCTAGTGGCGGCCTCCAGCAGCGGTCTCTAGTGCCTCCCTCCAGCGGCGGTCTCTAGTGCCTCCCCCTAGTGGCGGCCTCCAGCGGCGGTCTCTAGTGCCTCCCTCCAGCGGCGGTCTCTAGTGCCTCCCTCCAGCGACGGTCTCTAGTGCCTCCCCCTAGCGGCGGCCTCCAGCGGCGTTCTCTAGTGCCTCCCTCCAGCGGCGGTCTCTAGTGCCTCCCTCCAGCGGCGGTCTCTAGTGCCTCCCTCCAGCGGCGGTCTCTAGTGCCTCCCTCCAGCGGCGGTCTCTAGTGCCTCCCTCCAGCGGCGGTCTCTAGTGCCTCCCTCCAGCGGCGGTCTCTAGTGCCTCCCTCCAGCGGCGGTCTCTAGTGCCTCCCTCCAGCGGCGGTCTCTAGTGCCTCCCTCCAGCGGCGGTCTCTAGTGCCTCCCTCCAGCGGCGGTCTCTAGTGCCTCCCTCCAGCGGCGGTCTCTAGTGCCTCCCTCCAGCGGCGGTCTCTAGTGCCTCCCTCCAGCGGCGGTCTCTAGTGCCTCCCTCCAGCGGCGGTCTCTAGTGCCTCCCTCCAGCGGCGGTCTCTAGTGCCTCCCTCCAGCGGCGGTCTCTAGTGCCTCCCTCCAGCGGCGGTCTCTAGTGCCTCCCTCCAGCGGCGGTCTCTAGTGCCTCCCTCCAGCGGCGGTCTCTAGTGCCTCCCTCCAGCGGCGGTCTCTAGTGCCTCCCTCCAGCGGCGGTCTCTAGTGCCTCCCTCCAGCGGCGGTCTCTAGTGCCTCCCTCCAGCGGCGGTCTCTAGTGCCTCCCTCCAGCGGCGGTCTCTAGTGCCTCCCTCCAGCGGCGGTCTCTAGTGCCTCCCTCCAGCGGCGGTCTCTAGTGCCTCCCTCCAGCGGCGGTCTCTAGTGCCTCCCTCCAGCGGCGGTCTCTAGTGCCTCCCTCCAGCGGCGGTCTCTAGTGCCTCCCTCCAGCGGCGGTCTCTAGTGCCTCCCTCCAGCGGCGGTCTCTAGTGCCTCCCTCCAGCGGCGGTCTCTAGTGCCTCCCTCCAGCGGCGGTCTCTAGTGCCTCCCTCCAGCGGCGGTCTCTAGTGCCTCCCTCCAGCGGCGGTCTCTAGTGCCTCCCTCCAGCGGCGGTCTCTAGTGCCTCCCTCCAGCGGCGGTCTCTAGTGCCTCCCTCCAGCGGCGGTCTCTAGTGCCTCCCTCCAGCGGCGGTCTCTAGTGCCTCCCTCCAGCGGCGGTCTCTAGTGCCTCCCTCCAGCGGCGGTCTCTAGTGCCTCCCTCCAGCGGCGGTCTCTAGTGCCTCCCTCCAGCGGCGGTCTCTAGTGCCTCCCTCCAGCGGCGGTCTCTAGTGCCTCCCTCCAGCGGCGGTCTCTAGTGCCTCCCTCCAGCGGCGGTCTCTAGTGCCTCCCTCCAGCGGCGGTCTCTAGTGCCTCCCTCCAGCGGCGGTCTCTAGTGCCTCCCTCCAGCGGCGGTCTCTAGTGCCTCCCTCCAGCGGCGGTCTCTAGTGCCTCCCTCCAGCGGCGGTCTCTAGTGCCTCCCTCCAGCGGCGGTCTCTAGTGCCTCCCTCCAGCGGCGGTCTCTAGTGCCTCCCTCCAGCGGCGGTCTCTAGTGCCTCCCTCCAGCGGCGGTCTCTAGTGCCTCCCTCCAGCGGCGGTCTCTAGTGCCTCCCTCCAGCGGCGGTCTCTAGTGCCTCCCTCCAGCGGCGGTCTCTAGTGCCTCCCTCCAGCGGCGGTCTCTAGTGCCTCCCTCCAGCGGCGGTCTCTAGTGCCTCCCTCCAGCGGCGGTCTCTAGTGCCTCCCTCCAGCGGCGGTCTCTAGTGCCTCCCTCCAGCGGCGGTCTCTAGTGCCTCCCTCCAGCGGCGGTCTCTAGTGCCTCCCTCCAGCGGCGGTCTCTAGTGCCTCCCTCCAGCGGCGGTCTCTAGTGCCTCCCTCCAGCGGCGGTCTCTAGTGCCTCCCTCCAGCGGCGGTCTCTAGTGCCTCCCTCCAGCGGCGGTCTCTAGTGCCTCCCTCCAGCGGCGGTCTCTAGTGCCTCCCTCCAGCGGCGGTCTCTAGTGCCTCCCTCCAGCGGCGGTCTCTAGTGCCTCCCTCCAGCGGCGGTCTCTAGTGCCTCCCTCCAGCGGCGGTCTCTAGTGCCTCCCTCCAGCGGCGGTCTCTAGTGCCTCCCTCCAGCGGCGGTCTCTAGTGCCTCCCTCCAGCGGCGGTCTCTAGTGCCTCCCTCCAGCGGCGGTCTCTAGTGCCTCCCTCCAGCGGCGGTCTCTAGTGCCTCCCTCCAGCGGCGGTCTCTAGTGCCTCCCTCCAGCGGCGGTCTCTAGTGCCTCCCTCCAGCGGCGGTCTCTAGTGCCTCCCTCCAGCGGCGGTCTCTAGTGCCTCCCTCCAGCGGCGGTCTCTAGTGCCTCCCTCCAGCGGCGGTCTCTAGTGCCTCCCTCCAGCGGCGGTCTCTAGTGCCTCCCTCCAGCGGCGGTCTCTAGTGCCTCCCTCCAGCGGCGGTCTCTAGTGCCTCCCTCCAGCGGCGGTCTCTAGTGCCTCCCTCCAGCGGCGGTCTCTAGTGCCTCCCTCCAGCGGCGGTCTCTAGTGCCTCCCTCCAGCGGCGGTCTCTAGTGCCTCCCTCCAGCGGCGGTCTCTAGTGCCTCCCTCCAGCGGCGGTCTCTAGTGCCTCCCTCCAGCGGCGGTCTCTAGTGCCTCCCTCCAGCGGCGGTCTCTAGTGCCTCCCTCCAGCGGCGGTCTCTAGTGCCTCCCTCCAGCGGCGGTCTCTAGTGCCTCCCTCCAGCGGCGGTCTCTAGTGCCTCCCTCCAGCGGCGGTCTCTAGTGCCTCCCTCCAGCGGCGGTCTCTAGTGCCTCCCTCCAGCGGCGGTCTCTAGTGCCTCCCTCCAGCGGCGGTCTCTAGTGCCTCCCTCCAGCGGCGGTCTCTAGTGCCTCCCTCCAGCGGCGGTCTCTAGTGCCTCCCTCCAGCGGCGGTCTCTAGTGCCTCCCTCCAGCGGCGGTCTCTAGTGCCTCCCTCCAGCGGCGGTCTCTAGTGCCTCCCTCCAGCGGCGGTCTCTAGTGCCTCCCTCCAGCGGCGGTCTCTAGTGCCTCCCTCCAGCGGCGGTCTCTAGTGCCTCCCTCCAGCGGCGGTCTCTAGTGCCTCCCTCCAGCGGCGGTCTCTAGTGCCTCCCTCCAGCGGCGGTCTCTAGTGCCTCCCTCCAGCGGCGGTCTCTAGTGCCTCCCTCCAGCGGCGGTCTCTAGTGCCTCCCTCCAGCGGCGGTCTCTAGTGCCTCCCTCCAGCGGCGGTCTCTAGTGCCTCCCTCCAGCGGCGGTCTCTAGTGCCTCCCTCCAGCGGCGGTCTCTAGTGCCTCCCTCCAGCGGCGGTCTCTAGTGCCTCCCTCCAGCGGCGGTCTCTAGTGCCTCCCTCCAGCGGCGGTCTCTAGTGCCTCCCTCCAGCGGCGGTCTCTAGTGCCTCCCTCCAGCGGCGGTCTCTAGTGCCTCCCTCCAGCGGCGGTCTCTAGTGCCTCCCTCCAGCGGCGGTCTCTAGTGCCTCCCTCCAGCGGCGGTCTCTAGTGCCTCCCTCCAGCGGCGGTCTCTAGTGCCTCCCTCCAGCGGCGGTCTCTAGTGCCTCCCTCCAGCGGCGGTCTCTAGTGCCTCCCTCCAGCGGCGGTCTCTAGTGCCTCCCTCCAGCGGCGGTCTCTAGTGCCTCCCTCCAGCGGCGGTCTCTAGTGCCTCCCTCCAGCGGCGGTCTCTAGTGCCTCCCTCCAGCGGCGGTCTCTAGTGCCTCCCTCCAGCGGCGGTCTCTAGTGCCTCCCTCCAGCGGCGGTCTCTAGTGCCTCCCTCCAGCGGCGGTCTCTAGTGCCTCCCTCCAGCGGCGGTCTCTAGTGCCTCCCTCCAGCGGCGGTCTCTAGTGCCTCCCTCCAGCGGCGGTCTCTAGTGCCTCCCTCCAGCGGCGGTCTCTAGTGCCTCCCTCCAGCGGCGGTCTCTAGTGCCTCCCTCCAGCGGCGGTCTCTAGTGCCTCCCTCCAGCGGCGGTCTCTAGTGCCTCCCTCCAGCGGCGGTCTCTAGTGCCTCCCTCCAGCGGCGGTCTCTAGTGCCTCCCTCCAGCGGCGGTCTCTAGTGCCTCCCTCCAGCGGCGGTCTCTAGTGCCTCCCTCCAGCGGCGGTCTCTAGTGCCTCCCTCCAGCGGCGGTCTCTAGTGCCTCCCTCCAGCGGCGGTCTCTAGTGCCTCCCTCCAGCGGCGGTCTCTAGTGCCTCCCTCCAGCGGCGGTCTCTAGTGCCTCCCTCCAGCGGCGGTCTCTAGTGCCTCCCTCCAGCGGCGGTCTCT